TACACACACCCACACACACACACACACACACACACACACTCGATGTAGTGATCGGCCAGTGTCTTAGTGGTGCTTTAATTTAATAAAAAGCACTCATTTATACTAATAATTCAAATTTGAAGTTTTAAAAATTAAAAAACTTTTTTTTTTTTCTTACTGACGTCATTTATGTTGAAGGATTTATTTAATCCGTTTATTTTAATAATTAAAAATTTTTTTTTTTCCTTTTTGATGGATTTTATTTTGAAGCATTAATGTAATTATTTTAATAATTTCAATTACATTTTTTCCTTCTCAATCTAATTTTTTTGCAGCATTAATTTAATTTATTTTAATCATTAAAATATTTTTTCTTTATTGATGTAATTTATTTTAAAACATTATTTTAATTAATTTATTTTAATAATTAAAAATTATTTTTCCAACTTCATGTAATTTATTTTTTTAATTTACTTTATTTTAATATTTAAAATAGCATTTTTCCTTCTTGATGCAATTCATTTTAAAGCATTAATTTAATTTATTAAAACATTTTTTTTTTTTAATAATTCTTCCTTTGTGGTGTAAGTTATTTTGAAGAATTAATTTATTAAAATATTTTTCTTTCTTGATATAGTTTATTTTAAACCACTCATTTAATTAATTGTTTTTCTTCTTGATTCAACTTAATATTATTAACATTGCTAACATTTCAATGCAATGCACAATTTTCTGTAATGACTTAAAGAATGAAAGATGAGTATTCTTATAAACAATTTTATTATTTAATAATTTTCCATTAAAATATATATAAGAGCTATTAATTTTGTATTCTTAGAAAAAAAAAGCAAAAAACATTTTGAAACTTTTTGAAAACACCTGAATAATACAAAGTTACAAGATCATGTACATTACGTTTAATTCGTAATCAATTTTTTACAATTTTAAAAATCTTTTTAATGTCTTCCTGACAGAAAACGCTACTTATTTTATGATCTAAACGCTACAGTGTCACACAGTAACTGACGCTAAGCAGCTAGCTAAGTTAGCCAGCGTTACCTAGCTAGCCTCTGCTAACCTGCAAAAACTAACGATGCTCGTCTCCATTTTCTGACTCTTTTCTGATTGGCTGATTTCTCAGGATAGTGAGAGTTCGAAATAACGTCAGCTGTATTTCAACATTTATAAATGTTAAATAGTTCGAAAAAAGGCTAACAAAACACTTACGAATCAATGCTGAAATGTCAAAAAAAAAAACTGTACGAAAAGTATGACGCTGAAACAATGTCGTAATGATCTGATTTGCTAATATTTTTAATTGTTCTTCATTAAAACTGGATAATCCGAGCGATTTTGACGGTTCGCAATCTCATTTGCATAAATTTCACTTCTTACCAATCAGCATCTCGAACATGATGACGCCCAGACTCCACCAATCACAGAGCTTGTTGTATCCAGTCTGCATGAAGACCTCCGGCGCGATGTAGTCCGGCGTTCCCACCGTGGAGAAGGCCTGAAAGAGGCGGAGCAACATAACGCATCACTTCCTGTGTGCTGTGAACATGCTAATGAAGCCGTCGCTAACACTGACCAGCTGCCTCCGGTTTCTCTTCCACGTCTCGGCCTTCCTCTTGGAGTTCATGTGCTGAAACGCTACGAGAAACACGCGCAAATTACTCATTTAATACTGAATATTCACATAACCAGGCCTAAAAGTTTCAAATAACTCAAAGTTTGAAAATTGTACTCAGAGAAAGTCAATAAAATGTAACTAACATGACTTAGCATTTTGTTAACATCTTCAAGCATGTTGCTAGCATGAATTAACACGTTTTAACACTATGCTAGCATGAATTAGCATTTTTTAACACCATTAAGAATGTTGCTAGCATTAATTAGCACGTTTTAACTCTATGCTAACATGTTGCAAACATGTTTCTGTCATGTTTTACCACATGGCTAACATAAATTAGGATGATGCTAACATATTTCTACCATGTTTGACATGTTGCTAGCATGAATCAGCATTACCGTTAACAGGTTTTAACATTATGCTAGTATGAACGAGCATGTTGTTAACATGTCTCTAACATGTTTAACATGGTGCTAGCATATTTTAACATTACACTAAAATGAATTAGCTTGTTGCTAGCATGTTTATAACATGTTTTAACACATGGCTAACATAAATTACCATGATGTTAGCATGTTTAAAGTGTTTTGCTAACATGTTTTACCATTATGCAAGCATGAATGTGCAAGCATGTCTCTAGTGTGTTTAACACATGGCTAGCAAATTTAAAACATGAAATATCATGCTGCTAGCATGTTTTACTACCATGCTTGAATTAGCATGTTGCTAACATGTCTTTAGCGTGTTAAATGTGTTGTTAGCATTTTTATCACTATGCTAGCATTAATTAAAATGTGCTAACGTTTAACATGTTGCTATCATGTTTTAAAACTGTTAACATGTTTCTAAACTGTTGTAGCACATTGTTTCTAATATGTTTAACATGTTGCTAGCTTGACTTAACATGTTGCTAACATGATTTAACACTATGCAAACATAAATGTGCTAGCATATCTCTAACGTCGTTAACACATTAACATGAATTATCAAGTTGCTAACATGTTTCTAATATGTTTAAGGTGCTGTTAACATGTTTTAACACCATGCTTGAATTAACGTTGCTAGCATGTCTCTAACATGTTTAGCATGTTGCTATCATGTTTTAAAACTATGCTAGCATGTTTCTAACCTGTTTTAACACATGGCTAACATGTATCTAACATGTTTAACATGTTGCTAGCTTGAATTAACATGTTTTAACTCTATGCTACCATGAATTAACACGTCGTTAACATGTTAGCACATGGCTAACATGAATTAACATGTTGTAAGACAATGTTCGCATGATCAGCATGTTGCTAGCATATTTCTAACCTGTTTTAGCACATACCTAACATGTTTCTAGAATGTTTAACATGCTGCTAACCTGTTTTAACACTAGGCTAGCATGAATTAACATGTCATTAACATGTTAACACACGGCTAACATGAATGACCATGTTGTTTGGATGTTGTAAGACAATGCTAGTATAATTAGCATGTTGCTAAGATGTAAGACAATGCTCGTATAATTAGCATGTTGCTAAGATGTTTTAGCTCATGGCTAACATGAGTTAACACTTTGCTAGCATGTTTCTGGCATGATTTGGCATTTTTGCCAACACACTGCTAGCATGTTTTAACATGTTATCATGGGCTTTTGATAGGCTTTGCTCTATAGGAGTTGTGTAAAAGTTTTCACACCCTGAATGGAAGTTTATGGGAGTTTGCGCTGTTGCTAACATGTCGTTAGCATGTTAAATGTGTTGTTAGCATTTTTTATCACCATGCTAGCTTTAATTAACATGTGTTAACATTAAACATGAATGACCATGTTGTTTGGATGTTGTAAGACAATGCTCGTATGATTAGCACACTGCTAAGATGTTTTAGCTCATGGCTAACATGAATTAGCATGTTGCTAACATGAGTTAGCACTTTGCTATGTTTCGGGCATGATTTAGCATGTTTGCTAACACACTGCTAGCATGTTTTAACATGTTATCATAGGCTTCAGTCTATAGTGCAAAAGTTTTCACGCCCTGAATGGAAGTCTATGGGAGTTTGCACTGTTCGGAAGTCCGACACGGGAATTCCGTACGTCGGATCGGTTCGAAAAGAGAATTCCGATTAGCCTGAAGCTTTGTTCACTCACTGAGGTCGTTTGATTGGCTGTGGTTCAGGTTGCGATAAAACTCGGTCCGATGCGCCTTTTTGAGTCCCGTACACAAGCCGAAATCAGACAGCTTGACGTGACCCTAAAATACACACACACACACACACACACAGGTAATGAAGCACAGCTCTCAGCCAGTCAGACGCCTCGCTGACAGAGAAGTGCTGTGAAAGCAGAAGAGGGCACAGGAAGTGGGTTATTGAGTCACTTCCTGTTCCTGTCAGGGTGTTTGACCTTGGAGTCCAGCAGCAGGTTGTCTGGTTTGATGTCTCGGTGAATGAAGCCCAGCTGGTGGATAAAGTCGATGGCCAGAACGGTCTCAGCTACGTAAAACTGCGTCTCCTCCTCGGTCAGTGTGTCCTTCTTCATCAGCAGCGTCATCATGTCTCCTGGAGAACACAACAGATCGATCAGACTTTGATATTTCACGTACTTGAGCATCAAAAGCATGCCCGTAGCCAGCTATGAGATCCGGACCTCGGTACATTTTTCATGTTCAAAAATAGAAATTTGTTCTCTGAATGACTGATTAAAACTCCCTTATATGAGTGTCTGCATATGTATTTCAGTTTAGACAGTTTGCAAGAATGTTTAGCAGCTAGGAGTGATTTGGATTCTTTGAATTACTGTTTCATTGAAAAGAATCAAATCGAATTGTTCTTATGAGTCAGTTCTCTTTCAATGAATCGTTTGAAAGGTTCTGAAGAAAAGTCTAAAGCAAAATGAAGTGAAACTGAAGACACATCTGAAATCTACTTGAGTACAAAATGAAGAAGTTCGTTACACAAACACTCTCACCTCCGGGCAGGAACTCCATGAGTAAGTAAAGGTTCAGTTTGTCTTGAAAACTGTAGAACATTTTCACCACCCACAGACTGTCTGCCTGAACCAAGATGTCCCGCTCCGCCCGGATATGACCCACCTGAGACAGAACATAACATCAAACACATCAAATAAAATAAATGACATTGCATGTAAGAAAATTCAATATAAATAAATTAAAACAAAATAAAGTTCTTAAAAAAAAGAAAATGACAAAATAAAATGTTGTAAAATAAAAAATAACATATTACACAAATAAAACAAAATAACATCAAATAAAATAATAAAATAAAAAATTGCAAAATGGCACAATGACATGACAAAATGACAGAAAATAAAATCAAAATTATGCAAATTACATAAAATAAAATACACAAATGACAAAATTAAATTAAAAAGACAAAAAATAACAAAATTACAAAATAAAATAAATTAACCACAAAAAAAAAAAAAAAACAGAAAAATGGCACAATGATATACAGGTGCATCTCAATAAATTAGAATGTCGTGGAAAAGTTCATTTATTTCAGTAATTCAACTCAAATTGTGAAACTCGTGTATTAAATAAATTTAATTAAATAAATTGCTGGAAAATGAAATCAGCATCTTCAAAAAGCTGGTCAGCAGAAGGAAGCATGCAGTGCTCCAAAATTTCTTGGTAAACGGGTGCAGTGACGTTGGTTTTCAAAAACGACATTCTAATTTATTGAGATGCACCTGTATATAATAAAAATGTAATAAAATATAAAATAAAATAAAACAAAATAACCAAATTAAATACAATAAAACAAAAATGACAATGACATACGATGACAAAATAGACACAAAAAAAACAAAATTACACAAGTTTTGTTTTATTAAAAAAATTACCAGAATGAAATAACATCAAATAGCCAAATACTAATTATAAAACGGATAGTTCCGGTCCTTGATTCTGATTGAGATCGCTGAGCCGCGTTCGAAGCTGTTGTAAATTACTCTACAAACACACACCTCTTTGTTTCTGTGTGTTGCTCGGCAACCACTTTGTTGCAACCGCTTCTTGGGGCTTATTGCTTTAATATAATAAAACAACACAAAATAAAATAATAAAATCATTATTTAGCTTCATTTTATTTGTTCATATTTTGTTAATATTTTGTTCTCTATTTGCATTATCATTAATTTACTCGTGGTGTGATCATGATGTGTTTTTAACGACACATTCGTTAGGCGTCACCTGCTCTTTCTGCAGCATGTCGGCTTTGCGAAGGATCTTCATGGCGTAAACATGTCCCGTGTCTTTCTTCTGGACCAGACGCACCTGCAGACAGCAGAAGCACACTTATTTACTGTATAACACAAACACACACACACACACACAGAGATTCATCAGTGTGTCATCAGCGCTCATTATCATAATCACCTCCCCAAATGCTCCTCGTCCAATCACCTTCAGCGACTCGAAGTCGTCCAGACCCAGTCTGGTTCTCTTCAGCCGCAGGAACTCGGTCTCCTTACGAGCATGTTGGGAGCGACGCATGCGCTTCTGGAACGCAACATTCACGTATATGCCAATATTTACATATTCATATACTTATATGTAAAGACACATTTACTGTAACAATAACTAAGTAAGATAGCTATCTAACTAAGGTAAGTCGATATATAAAGAATCGCAAAGTCCACGTCACAACTATAACATTCACAACTATTATTTTTCCATCTGACGTACGATAAGAGCAATGACAATCTAATATAGTTATCGTTATAGTTAAGCTATCATTAGCATTTACGTTATCATTACAATAACGATTAAAATTACGATTACTACGATTATAGTTATCATTATAGATATCGTTACCATTATAGGTATTGTTATCATTTAACTTATTGTTTGTTTACAGTTATCGTTATCATTTAGCATTACGTTATCATTATAGTAACAATTATAATTATGATTACAGTTTCATTTAACTTATTGTTTGTTTACAGTTATCGTTATCATTTAACATTACGTTATCATTATAGTAACAATTATAATTATGATTACAGTTATGATTATAGTTATCATTATAGATATCGTTACCATTATAGGTACTGTTACCATTTAACTTATTGTTTACAGTTATCGTTATCATTTAGCATTAAGTTATCATTATCATTTACATTATCATTATAGTAATGATTACAGTTATGATTATAGTTATTATTATAGATATCGTTACCATTATAGGTATTGTTACCATTTAACTTATTGTTACGACATATCATTTGTTTACAGTTTTCGTTATCATTTAGCTTTTTTATAGCAGTTATCATTATGATTAAAGTTATAGTTACTGTTATCATTATAGTTATCGGTACAGATATAGCTATGATTACAGTTATCGCTATAGCTACTGTTATCATTATAGTTATTGGTACAGATATCATTATGATTACAGTTGTCATTATAATTTCAGTTATCGATACATATATTGTTATGATTACAGTTATTATAATTACCATTATCGGTACAAATATTGTTATGATTACAATATTCGTTAAACCTATTGTTGTCATAGTTATCAGTACAGATATCGTTATGATTACAGTTGTCAATATAATTACCATTATCATTATAGTTATCAGTAACAATGTTGTTTTGATTACAGTTTTCGTTATAGCTCCTGTTATCATTATAGTTATTGGTACCGATATCATTATGATTACAGTTGTCATTATAATTACAGTTATCATTATAGTTATCGGTACATATATTGTTATGATTACAGTTATCATTATAGGTACAAATATTGTTATGATTACAATTTTCGTTAAAGCTATTGTTGTCATAGTTATCGGTACAGATATCGTTATGAATACAGTTATTGTTATAACTAATGTTGTCATTATAGTTATCGGTACAGATATCGTTATGATTACAGTTGTCAATATAATTACCATTCTCATTAAAGTTATCAGTAACAATGTTGTTTTGATTACAGTTTTCGTTATAGCTACGGTTATCATTATAGTTATTGGTACAGATATCATTATTAAGTTATCATTATAATTACCATTATCGGTACAAATATTGTTATGATTACAATTTTCGTTAAAGCTACTGTTGTCATAGTTATCGGTAGAGATATTGTTATGATTAAAGTTCTAATTATAATTACCGTTATCATTATAGTTATCAGTAACAACGTTGTTTTGATCACAGTTTTCGTTATAGCAACTGTTATCATTATAGTTATTGGTACAAATATTATTATGATTACAGATTTTGTTATAGCTACTGTTATCGGTACATATATTTTTATGGTTACAGTTGTCACTGTAGCTACTGTTATCATTATAGTTATTTATACAGATATTGTTATGATTACAGTTGTCTTTAAAATTACCGTGATCATTATAGTTATCAGTAACAATGTTGTTTTGATTACAGTTTCCTTTACAGCAACTGTTATCATAATAGTTATTGATACAGATATTATGAATACAGTTACTGATACAGATATCGGTATGATTACAGTTATCGGCACAGATATCGTTATGATTACATTTATCGTTACAGCTACTGCTATCATTACAGATATTAAAATTTTAGTTATCATTACTGTTCTAGTTATGATTACAGTTATCGGTACAGATATCGTTATTATTCCAGTTATCATTATAGCTACTGCGATCATTATAGTTATCATTACAGATATTATGATTTTAGTTATCATTACGGTTCTAGTTATTATCACAGTTATCGTTGTAGGTAACGTTATCATTCTAGTTATTGTTATAAATATAATTATTATTACAGTTATTGTTATCATTCTAGTTATCGTTATAAATATCGTTACGATTGCAGTTGTAGTTATCATGATCATTATGGTTATAGTTATGGTTACTGTTCTTGGTGTGAAGTGTGCGTTTGTTACCTCTTCATCAGGCAGTCCTTCCTCATCCATCACCTTCTCCAGTTTTTGCTGCCTGTCAACAGAATGAATTCTAATTACAAGATGCAAATTGCAATATTTCTCATCATATTTCTGCAGTATGCAGACTACTACATTAGTCAAAATATATACATTTTAAACAAATAGTAGGTAGTATTCAGTGGATACTGTGCAGCACACTAATAATCCATCATATTATTGAAGTAAACTGGTTGGAAAGTTCATTCCGTGTCGACATTAGCACAGAACTCTGAATGTTATAAACACTGAGTAAATGAGCAACACAGGAAGAGAGTGTTTCACCACAGAGGAATGATGTTACGCTCCACTGACAGAGCACAACGCTTCAGATCACTGATTCAGTGCTTCGCTTCTTTAATATCATGCTGTAAGTGTGACCTGAGCATGTTTTGGGCTGCTGAGGAGAATAAAGAGCTCTTTGTGAAGCTGTAACACTCTTTATTTTTGTGTTTCTACCTCATTTCCCTCTCATCGTGTTGCGTTATGAGGTTGCTGTAGAAGTTCTCCAGCGTGACCTTGGCCATGGTCACTCGCTCTTTGGTGTGGTTGCTCATTAACGAGCTGGAGGCGTGGCCTCGGGTCGCCATGGTTACCAGTAAGTAACCGGTTGGGATGCAGCTCTGCGGGAGTTTACAAACACAACACGATTTACATGCGCAGTGGAGTCACGTTACACTGATGTAGCATATTACATACATGCAAGAATGCAAAACACAAGGTACTACCGTGGTACCTTACGAGTCTACTCTGACAAGAGGAGCTTTTGTCTCCCAGACTGTGCTATATTTGCAGTTCAGTCAGAAAACAGCCCGTCTGAGGCACATTATGGAAAGGAACAAATGTGACCATAAAAACATTTGGCAGCAGTTATTCAGACAGTCTGTTCTGCAGAATCTGCGGTCTGAAGCGCAAATATAGAGACGGTTAAGAGAGGAAACTCAGACTCACTTTCAGGAACAATAGAGCTGCTATTACTAAACCAATTATTGTTTAACCGACACGCTAACAATGAAACGGAAAATATGAGGGGGAAAAATTATATATCCACATACATACATATATTAGTGCTGTCATTCGATTAAAAAAATTACTAATTTATCACACATTTTTCAAAAATTAATCGCGATGTCTATTAATTTTTTCCCTAATATTTACCCATTGACTATAGCCATTCAACATTACAGTATAATTGAGAGCTATCAATTTTAACATGTCTTACACTTTTAAAAATAACTTTTAATATATGTGAACTTAAAAAACAATCTTCATATAAACCCATTATAATAAATCTCAGCAATAAATGTGCCCTTCAGCAAGAAAATATAGCCTAATTTAAAAAAAAAAAAGCTATCAAACACTACATTCTAAATTAAATTAAATAGAGATAAAGCTTAAAACTACACAAGTTATTGATTTCCTCTTTTTTATTTTGTTCTTTGATTAACAAACATCACAGCATCTGGTTATTAGGATATTTTGGCTGCTACTTTAAGAGCTGCCGCTGCTGAACTATATATTCATATATACACACACACACACACACACACACACTCACACACACACACTCACACACAC